TGTACCAATGACTAGTGTCATGCTCTTTTAAGTTCGTAGCAGTGTTAAAAAGCTAAACTCATTTCAACCAAAAAAAAAATTCAGTACAAGAGTGAAGCACTTAAATTGTAGAAAAATCAGGGCTTATTTTAAAAAATGTCAAATAGTCATTGTTCACATTTCTGTCAGTGGGATAAAGACAATCGATGAGCCAACATTTTACTTTATTTCCCTATTATGCCAGAAAGAAAGAACAAAAATAGTCCCAAATTAAAAGTGGGACTTTGGTTGAAAGTAAGATCAATTAGGGTGGTTTCCCTTTAAAAAGCTACAGCTGATAAGTCTAATGCAGAAGTCACAAACATTGGATACGACTCCGCAGTTCTCCATTCGAATCCATGAACAAAAACCTCATTTTACACAATTCATATTTATAAACAAGAACAAAAACAATCTACAAGACAACCAGCCCATTAATCCTACTTTGTACATACCAAAATTCTGAGCAAAAAAAAATTTCCGTTTAAGCTCTGACAGACACTTGACTGAAAAGCCTCTAGCCTATGCTCAAGAAATACCTCTTGTACCATAAAAGCAAAACCTTAAAAAAAAAGAAAAATAAAGGCAGAAGAGGTCTCATTTTCTCAGACCCATCCAGTCCCATGGGTTCACCCCTCAAGCTAATGTGCACCTCTCCCTCCCTCCTTCTGCCCAGTCACCTGGAAAAATCCTGAACTGCCAAAGTATTTCTAAGCAATACATGTTTTAAGCTAACCACTTGTTAATGTACCAGAGAAGTAAAACCCATGTTAAACAGACAATCAGAAACCAGCTTTGACTTCTCAGAATATAAATTTTTTTTAAAAATTAACAACAGAGGCAGGAAGAAGAAAGGGACATACAGGGATCTCCTATTAGCATTCACACTGCCTCCCAAATAGATATGACATGAAAGACCAAATTCCATCACCAAAGCACAGCTATGAAAAAACGTCAATTCAAATTAATTCAATTGTAGAGAGCCGATGTCTATGAAAAAAACTAATGAGAAGGATGTGTGTCTATGTCCGTGCTGGTGGAAATGAAAGTAGCCGGCTGGAGCTGAGCTTTGCTTCCAAAAGCACCACACAGTTTCTGGAGTTACCAGCAGAAAAGTCTTCTCTTCCAACAATGGTTTCCATGGCAATGCAATCAGTCTAGAAAGGAGGGGGGGAAAAAAAAAGTCAGTGACATTTCAGATGTAAGTTATATCAGAAAAGAATGTTTTCTAGGGAGGAGAACACATGGAGCTTATCCACTGCAGGAGTGAGAGCTGCTGACTGCAGAACGCAGGTCCTTCGCAGAGGGAGGGGACACTCCCAGCTGCCAACCCCCCAGAGATCCTGAGGGAAGGCAGAACGATGGAGCCTGAAACAAGCACTGAAGAGCCACTGCAGCCACAGTGACACGTGTACATGGGACAGGAACTGGGGCAGCAGCCAGCCCGTGCTGGGACAGCCCAAGGCTCAGAGCTCCCCCTGCACTGTCCCCGCTGCCCTGCGAGGTGCAGCACAAAGAGCCCCAGCAGTGCCTCACCAGGGGTGACCGACCCTCAGCCAACACTGCCAGCAGGGCACAGCTGCAACACCAACACTCCTGCACTGCCTGCTCCAAGCAAGGAGCAGCAAGTCCTGACAGCTGCGTGCCCTGTCCTCACCTTTTCAGGAAAAAGCTTTATTTAGTTCTCATTAGAAACACCTCACAGCACACTCGTCCCTTTTTGAAGAAGTCTCACTGAAAGGCAACACACCCAAGTACAAAAGCACACAGCTACAGCCAGCTCCCTTCTTCAGGGGCTCCAAACTGACTGGAAAAGGCAGAAATCCAAGCACTAGCTAAAATGAGGGGCAGAAAATATACTCTTGTATTGCAGGAAGGTACAGATGGGCCATGAGGCACAAATGAAAACAGGAGGGAGCCTGCCCTCAAAGCACAACATCAGCCCTGCAATTAACCATGCACATGCCAAGGTGAGAGCAACTCAGGAGTTTCCTGACATGGAAGACAAAGTGATGAAGGGCATGCAAATGCCTTCTGCAATTGCATGAACACAAAGGAGGAACATATAAAAAGTCACTTTCCAGCTCTCTACAAAACCCCTTTCTCTCCCAGCTGAGCCAACATGAGCACCAATTTTCAGTCTGGAGGGCTACTGCCAAGCCAGCCAGTGAATCACACTCTCCCAACTGAGACAGACTGTCCTCTTCCACCATTTCTGTCCTCTCAGCCAAGACTGAGGGCACTGTCTTCTGCCAGGCAGGTGTCTGTGCCCACCTTCTCTGCAGGGTTTGAGGTACATACCTGCAGGATGTTTCCTTGCAGTACAGAGAAGAAGGAAACAGCCAGTTGCTGTCATCGAGAAACAACGAGTGCAAGAGGTTTAGGCTCAAGAAAACAACACATACAGAAAATGTCAGCTACTTTTTCCCTCAAAGCCACACAGTGCCAGCTCTCTCCTGGTTCTGGGAGCCTGAGCTGCAATATGGGAACACTTCATTACACAGCACACCAATGGCAGCACAGACCCTTAGAACAGAGGAAGAGGTTTCGGGGCTTAATCCTGCCCATGCTCTTCTGGTGGTCACAAGGACATCAGCTACATCTCACTGCTGAAGATCTCATAGGTCTTCCTTGCCTCTACTCCAGGGATATGCCAAAGAAAAGATGACCATGTAAAGAACAAGCATTATGTGTAATACTGCAAACCTGTATGGTTACTTACAAACCAATCATGAGGTATGCACACGCAAACTCCACCCTGTGCTAAAGAAATTCTGACTTCTGTCCAGCTAAAAGTACTCTCCCTCTGAAAGAAATAAGAAAGCTAAAAAATAGAAAAAAGACCAAAGCTCAGCTGAGCAGCCCTGCCCTATCCCAGCACTCAGCAAGAGCTGCCTGTGGCTTCAGAGACAGCGGGGAAAAGGCAATGGCAGGGCTGGCAGCAGTGTGGAAGTAAAGAGGGGTCCTTCCACTTCAGGAGAAATCCCTTTTAATCCCACACAACCCTCACCAAGGTCCAGGCTGCTGTGTTTCATTTTTCCAATATTTCAGTGATTTCAAAAATACAGCAACTTAGTTTTTCTCAATTAAAGGAAGAAACAGCCAAGATACACCCACAACTTGAGAATCTCTATTTGTGTTATTTCACAGACATCATAAGATCACAACAAAAAGCTATTGCTTGGTACTCACAGAGCATGATGTGGTCAGCAATGGCTTTGTTTTCACAAAAGCCAACTGAAGCTATTATTTCTGAAATAATTTTCCTCTTCAGAAAAATATTGTTTTGTTGTAAGACCAAAGAATGAAAATATGCACCACAGCTTGCAATGAATCACACCTCAGTGATGCATGCAAGTCAAACATTAAAACAGTTAAAGCTTCTATATTAAACTTATACTCAATAAAAATTAACTTTACCAGCAACCCCCCACCCTTTCCTTGCTGTGGACCTGTAAGCTCACATAAAAGGAACTTCAAAAACTGTCTCTGCTTTTGTCAGGACATTTTTCCTCCACGCCTTACACACAAGACACACCTGAAAGCTGTTTGACAAGTTATTCTAATCTCTCCAAGCACATCCTCAAAACATTTTGAAGAGCAAAGGCCCAGATGCTTGATTCAGACAATCCCATATGGCAGAATTCAGTATTTACACATAAAATGTTTTGAAAATTTTCATAAACTAATGCCAAATTACATTTAAGGAGGGGAAGGGGAAGGGCTTAAGAGCAAAAAAAACCCCAAGCCTGCTTAAGTCCTAAGTTTAATTCTCTGAAGCAGCCTGATATACTGCAGCAGCATGGCAACCAAAGCAAGAGCATCAGGTAACTCTGGGCAGGACCTCAAACAGCACAGATTCATTTATCAGAAACCAGAAGAAAGCCGCAGACCTCCCTGCAGCATCTCCCCTTCCCAAAACTCTGCACATCCTAAACAAGAGCTCATTAATTTCCTGCCTCCATGATTTATAAACTACAATTCAACATGTTTCTTCTCCATTTTTAAGGTAAAACAGAATTGTGTGAACTGTAAGTAAACATAAGTGAGTTTCACATAATCACTTACAAGCTGATGTCATTCCATAAAGCCTTGAGTCTTCCATACATGGAGCTATTGGTTGTCACCACTTCTCTAATCCCCTTATTAAAGCTGGAAATTGCAATATTGCAGTTGGAGCAGTACAGCTAGCTGGTGTCCTGAGTCATCAGCACTTTTCGGTATGAAAGTATCAAGCAGATAGATATATTATATATATATATATATACACATATAGGTGTATATGTATATATGGACACATATATCATATATATCACATTTATCATACATCTTTTCTCAGACAGAAAAGGCTAAGAGCAACTTGTGAAACTTGACCACATAAAAGAAAAGTATTTCATCTGAAATCTAAGAGGAGACCAAAGTCTTGCAAGATCCCTCCCACAAAGTGCTGCAGTCACCACCATTCCCAAAGGCCACCTCAGGAGTCCATTTGTGCTGCAGCCAAAGGCCCACAGGTCACCCAGCAGGAACCTCCAGCATCCCAGAAATCCCCTGTCACAGCAGTGGAGGCTGCAGCCAGGGGTGAGTGGGGTCTGCAGCCCAAGGCAGCTGTGCAGTCACAGAGCAGAGCCCTGGCAGGATTCCCAGACCCCCATCCCTGGATGAAGCTGGGCTGGGTCACGTGGCCGTATTTTGAGAGTTTGCAAAAGAACTTGCACATGAAGCTTCTTGATGGTTCTTCTCTCCCACACCTGAACTGCTTCCATTTTTTCATTAACCAGTTGGTGAAGGAAACCTAATGAGGCCATGCAGTGCTTGAAGAAAACAGCAGTGCTTCTGTGAAGCTGAATAATCTTATTTCAGTCTCATAATCTAAGATTCCTTAGACATCAATTTCCTATGTTAATAGTACAGATATGAGAATTGCTGATCAACAATAAAAACCAGATTAACACTTCATACCCGATCCCATATGAATGGATTTAACTCAGCACTGACTGAATAGTAAAGGAAGCTGACAGGAAAAGGGATGAAGAAACTCTTCTATAAGATAAACAAATTATGAGATGTGAACTTGCAGAGACAAGAGGTACATTCTCACAGAGTAACCCAGCATTCCCCTGAAGTTCTCAAACACAAATGCACCAAGTAAAGCTCGCTGGCCAGATCAGACAGAACTTTCGCTTGCAGTGTAAACACACAGCTGTTCCTGGACTGCCACAAGCTCTTCTAAGAAAATCTACACACTCTAAAAAAAAAAAAAAAAAAAAAAAAAAAAAAAGAATCTGATAACTGATCATGACAACAAACAAGCAGCAAAAAAACCTCTGCAAAAACCTTTCGAGGCAGCCCAGAAATATTCTACTCTAAGTAGTTCTCATTGCATTGCACCCTACACTGGGCTTTCCGATCCAAACTTCAGCTCTGTTAATAGATTTTGCACAAAAGCTTCAGCCTTTATTCAAAATTGACCTCTACTGCTTCACACTATTGACTATAGTACAAATTCAACTTCTTATCAATGTTTAATATGGAAAACGAGTCTAGACAGCATCCAAACATTTTCAAAGTTCATCTCATGAAATATAGAAGCAAAGTTTGGAAAATTCCACACAATTCCATTTCAATTCATCAGTTTAAGATGGGATCAAGCAGCTGTCTGAATTTTGTTGATGAACAATCAGAGGAAAAAGATCACAAGGCAGAAGAGAACTAAGGGGCAAATATTTAAAGTAGGATGGCAGCATTGCTGAAAGACGTTTTATTTAAAATTAAGGAACACACTGAGAAAGCATTCTGCAAGTTTTCTATGCAAAAATCACATAGTTTTATAAAAATATGGGGCAGAGATATAAATCAGCTGTAATTCATTAGATGCAAACCCAGTGTGTTCCACTTGAAAATGTATGAGATGAGACTATAAGGAATTTACACTTCATTTCCTCTGTCTGAATTATCAAGGCCATACAAGTCAGGACACTTTGAAACATACTGAGAGGTTCTGAGAACACAGCAGACATACCCTAATTCTCTCAAAGAAATCCATCCTAAATAATACCTGTTTTTACAGGAAAGGCTTTTACAGACATAATTCTGCAATTGATTCCTAAAAGGATAAAAGCTTTGCTTACAGAAGATATTAATTTAAGATAATTAAATTATTAAAATCTCCATGTCAAAGACTAAGACAGCTTAATGCTTTCTGGAGAACACTGCTGAAGTTCTCCATTTCCTGAACTTCAGGTTAGGGGGAAATCAGAATTAATCTGATTTATGCAGATCAAAAGCAGCAGAGCAGCCCTAGACTTTTTGTGCACACAGCCACACAATATTCCTGTTGTTCAGGAAAGCACTAAACCCAGCACAACCTCAGGACACAACGTGGCATCCAAAAGCATTTTGTTCAGCAGCCAGGCTGGGGCAGGAGCACAGCAGCAAGTTCCACATGGAGCCTTCCCCATGGCAGGCAGGCCAGGGAGGGCTCATTTGCCCAAATACTTTCTTCCCAAATTAGTGAAAATTTTTCTTTTGCTCCGAATTTTACCAAATACACAGATACTATCCCATGCCACTGTCCTATTTCTTGGAATTCTTATTTGAATGGCATAGTTTTAGACCTTGCTAGAGGCAAGCAGAGTTACTTGAGAAAAGCCAGATGTCTTAATTTGCACCTGGCAGACACCAAGTCTACAAATACAAATCAAAACCTGACCCACTTGCTGCATCCCTCACACGTGAGTTATGGTGCCTGTGTGACCCAAACAAGGCCCTGACACAGAGACAGCCTGATCTGGCAAGGTCTTCAACTACCTGCTGACCACCAAGCACATATTCCATGTACTTTCTTCAGCCAACAACAGACTAATGATGCTCAAAATCAGCTAACTAATTTATGTTGAACCTATAATTTTACTGACTTTCCACAAGCAAAACAAAGTGCAAAATTTGGTTAAAGAAAACCACTTTATTGCATGACCCACTTTTCACTGGGTAAACTATTTAAACACAGCAATTGGTACCAATATCCCAGAATTGTTCATTCAAAACACAGGTTTGCTACTATTAGTGCTCAGCAATTTTACAAGCTAAAAACCTCTCCCATGCTTTCAGATAATTTCTACTCACTTAGCAGAAATGTCTTATCTCTTGCAACAGTGGCTTCTTTTCCTGTTGGAATAAACAGCAGGGTTGTTTCTAGGAAGGCTGTATGCACACTCCCTAATGTCATCTCTGCTGCTGATACTATTCCTAGAATTAGTAAACTTGCCTGCAGTTTTGGCAGAGGTCTAATACCAACTCAAATTGCACTGGACAGCTTGACAAGAAGTTGTTGGAGATTTTTTTGAGTTTGTTTGTTTGGAGGTTTTAAACTAAATTTCTATTACAATATAACACAACAACACTAAAAATTTACTCTTTTCCACCTCAAAATACATAGTTCAAAACTTCAGATTTTCATGTTGCAAAAGAATCAAAAAAAAAGGTTTTGCTTTTGAAAAAGCATTCTCTCAGCAAGTGTGTGAGTTACTGCACCTGACCTGAACCACAGAAAATATGGGTAAATTTTAGCCAAAAAAAACAAAGTTGTTTGTGTGGCTTCTGAGAATACCACCTGCTGCAATTCCCTCTGCTCCCGTGACAAAGGTCAGGAGCCCTGAGTGCCAATAGAGAGGAATATTTCCTGTCTGTGCTCTTGCTGCAAAGTGGGCATTATGAACTGTCTGGAAACAAACAGGAGAAAAACCAGCCACAGCAAACACCTCTGTGCATACAGCCCTGCCTCTTGCATCCAGAAAGGACTTGGAATACTTGGGAACTTTCAGTAGTGCAGAGAAAACTCCTGCAAGGTGGGACACAACTTCCCTGTGAGGCACAGACTGGTAACAAGAACCCTTCAGCCTGCAAAGAACATAACAGGAAATTTTAAAAGCCCAGATTACAGCACAGGTCCACAGTGCATGTGGTACAACACTCTGAACAAGCCTAAGGCACAGGAGGGCACAGCATCTATACAATCCTAAGTGGCCTGGAGAAAAAAGATAAGATTTGTTATCTCTTCCTCTGCACAAACCAGGGGCTGCCAAACTAAGCTGGTACAGAGCAGGGTCCAAAATGCACAGAGGACTGCAGGCAGCATGTCCTGATGGATTGGAGGCTGCTGTGGATACAAGGAGTTTACACAGGATCAGAGAAAGATTGGAAAAGTACTTGGATTAAAGAATTATAAAACAGACTTGAATTATAAAACAGACAAACTACATTGGGCTCAAGAAATCCCCCAAGCTGGGGAAAAAAAAAAAAAAGAAGAAAAAGAAAAAAAAATCAGAGGCTTGGGTGTGTGTTTGTGGGAGGTATTATACACACCTGCCCTGCTCTTCCTCTGCTGGGTAGTGTCTGCTTGCAGGCACAGGTCTGGGGCTTGAGTGAGCCAAACTGTTCTTAGGAACACAACCAAGAGAAAGGGCAGGGTCACTCATGACTAATGGAACAGCTCCCCACCTTCCAAACCACCTTTCCCAAAACTTCCTTTCTACATGAGTTTCACCTGTTGTAATTCATTCCTTCCCTCTTCTCAATCACTTTAGACCTCAACACCTGCAAGCATTCAGCACCACCTTTTTCTTTCACCTCTAGTGCCATAAATGATTGTCAAAGGCAAAGTTACTACACAGGCAAATACCTACTCAGTTACACACCTGTGCAGGCTCATGTGTGCCTGAATAGAAAAATAAATAGATCTTTACTATCAGTCACTCTCTGCTATCACACATAGCAGTGGCATGCATCAATTTTTTACATTTCCTAATTTTTACATCATTGACTCTCCATTAATATTAGGACACCCCAAAGCCTGGCTCACACAGGAGAGGAAAAGAAAGGTTCAGATTGGACTGCATGTGTGAAGCAACATCTTCTCAAACCTCAGGACATGCCCAAGAGCCAAGGATTGCACTTCCAGCTTCCAGGAGCAGTTTGGGAGCTGACAAGGACACAGTTAAACTGACTCTAAACACAGACAACCTTTAATCAACAGTGTCCAATTCTTGTTTAGGGTCTGCCTTATGGAACATGTCAACATTAATATTTCAATCACTCATACCCTCAACAGTGAATCAAGCCTCGATGCTGCCACCACTTCCAGATTTACCCAAAACCACTGCAGTGTTGGTTCAACCTGATCTACAGATACAGAAATAAAGTAACTTTCTCCAGTGAAAGTGACTGTGCTGCACTCCAGCCTCCACAGGAATCATTCCTGCAGCTGACAGCACCCAGCAGCAATGAGCAGGCCCCATGCAGACCTCCCCACCTAGAGATGGGCTCCAAATGCTCTGGGACATTGGTTATAAATCCTAAAGGTGACTATCTTCCAAGCCCCACTGTGCCTTCTCTCCAATGCTAGAAGACTGCCTGAAACTCAGAGATGCCACCTAAAAACACCCCAAGAACAAGCCAGTAGTAATGGCAAGGCAGTTCCACCAGCCTGGCTGCTTCTGGAGCAAAGTCTCACCAAGAACAGAGGCCCCAGTGCCCCCCCAGACACCACATGAACTGCCAAGGGATGCTGCACTGGGTGATCCTGAGTTCTGGTATGCATACCTGCTCACACCAAATCTACAGCCACAGGTCTGCAGGAAAATTAACTTACAGAAAGGAAAAATAAATAAAAACGGGGGGGGAAAAAAATCATATTCCACATCTAAAAGGGAGAAGTAAACACTGGGACGTGTTCCTAACTCAGAGATACACGTTGGCCCACATTCCTCTTACCAAGATTAATATCCTGGCCAGTGTTCTGACATTCACCTCATCCTTTTCAAGTCATTTAAACCATTACAACACTACCTTCCCTTGCTCCCTGCCATGTGCATACCCTTCCAAGTGCCTACACCAGCTTCCTCTCCTACAACCACTCTCAGCAGCCTTTTATCGCTCCACACTCTTATCTGGACTCTGCCAATGGCAGCAGCCTTGATCTCTATCTTCCTCTCCACCCCAGCACATTAGGTTTCATCCATCTCTTTAGTTTCATCTTTAAATTGTAAGCTCCTTAGGAGAGGGACCAACACATTTACATTTGTGGCACCATATGGGGACCTCTCTCCTGTCTACCTGTTCAGGTTCCACAAGTAGAGATCCTGTCTGGAGAGATCCTGTCTGGAGCTACATGCTTCATTAACAGACTGTTGTAATAATGTCTGAATGACCTCAAGATCAAATCTGTTCATTTTTTCAGCTCATTTCTAA